CAGTCTTCAGGAAACTGTACGTCACCAGAAAGCCTGCGCGGTCAGCTATTGCCCCCGGGCAATAGGAAGATAGACATACTGGTATCGACTGCCCCTATGTGTGATGTAGGGATAAACAACGCGTCGCATTTCTTCTGGACTAGCCATCACATATCCGTCTTCTCCTTTATGGATGATATACTCGAACCGCCACAGTCTGTCAGCTGGGAGGCCAAAGCGCCCAGCAACTGCTGGTCTGTCCGGATTGCAAAGAAATCGAAACTCAGGTGGAAAGAATAAGTCATACACCTGCTCTGGTGAGTAACCTCGTTCCCACAGAGGGAAGCTGGGATGCGACTGGGGTGTTGGTAAGGTGATTCGCCAGTTCAATGCTACCCAAGTTTCCTCATAGAAGGACCTAATTTAGAGTCAGGAACGGCAACTCCCAGAAGAGTGGGTTAACTGACTCGTGAAATTTCTCTAAGATGACGCCGCGCGGTTCCAAGTATTGCTTGCGCGTGTAACCCGTCTTTCCGTCTGCACCAACAAAGAATCTTGCTCGAAGACCGTGCTCTTCTCCGGTCGCGGTACGGTATGTACAATAAGTCCAGTCTTCGTCTTCTTCCAGATGAATGACAGTCGCGTTGCATCGTAAGGAGCAATGGGATGAAGGCATGCAGTCCCTGATGTGGCTCTCGAGGACGGGTTGTTTATGGCCTATGAAGCCGACATGGCCTGTCGCTCCTGCGATCTTCACATGGTCAGTGGGTACACATCAAAGCGAATTGATAGAGCCCACTATGTTGTAGTCCATTGCCAGAATCGGAGCCCTGTGCATATCGCAATCGGTCCCACTGACGAAATTGAATCTTCCCATGGCTGATTGATCGGCTTGTTAGTCTCCCGAGTATGGCGGCGGTAGGAAGACTCACAGGTGCCTATCTTAGTATAAATAGAGTCGTACAGACCAAGGCCCTGTAAGTAACGGATTCCATCGTCATCCAAGGCTATCCCACGGGGATCCGTGGTAATTGTCGGTTCCTTCTCCAGTACCACGTTGTTGACACCGGCGCGACCGAGATAAGCGGATAACATGGCGCCCGTAGGACCACATCCACATATAACGACATCAGTCGTTTCCCAGTCTTTCTGATCCATTATGTTTAGATATCTGTTTGCCCCAGGTCTCACTGTGGATTAAGATAAAGCTGTCGAACAGGGGTTGATAAAGCCGTGGCAAGGGGCGGAGGCCGCTTATGGGGGAGGAACAGCTGGTGCCGGCGGGACCTGGCGTTGAAGGTAGACCTGCATCACCTGTTGTACTCTGTATGAGAGGAAGCAATAAGCCCCAAATAGGCTGCTTTGAAACTCTTATGCCATGTTGGCATAAATGTTGATCTCCCGAGATGTCGGTGGGGAAATGAAGAGAAGATGAGGGGAAAGCCGTAAAGCCGGTGGGACCAGCGGGACGCCGAGGAGAACCTCAGGCAGCGGCAGCTTGGTGCCTACGTCGATCACGAGTATCCGGCTAATTAGGCGTCTCCCAACCCCCCAACACCATTAGCAGCGGTTGATAATGGCCCCTCCCCACCCCCAGACACTCCAGCCATGCTTTCCACACTAGGCGTGGGACAACCGATCGATAACGAGTGAAGTTTGGTTCACAATCGGCTGCCAACATGCCCCCAAGTCGATATCGCAACAGAAAAGAGCGGAGCTGTCCTTGGTGCTCTCAGTCCTTCACCAAGGAGGATCATCTCTCGCGCCATATCAGAACCCACACAAAGGAGAGACCCTTTCGTTGTTCTGTTTGTGGTAAACCTTTCAGTCGCCAGTATGCTATCATCAGTATGGGGTAATGGCTCTTAGACTGACCATCCAGTGACTCCCTTCTGCGACATGCACGTAATCACGGACAGGCTAGTCTCCAGCAGCCCAGTCTTCCAGAGCAACCAACGTCTGCCCAGAATTCTCCAGCTGATAATACCCTCTGTGCCGCGCCCAGGTTAGATGAAGGCATTGCTTTGGATCCACTGCGAACGTCGTTCATATTACTAGATACGCCGCCTTTGTCAACGGCTGACCATCCAGAACCCGGAAATGTATCTACGTTCCCTTCTTCTTCACGTGCTGGAAAAGGCGAGTGTCTTACGATGCTAGAAGCCAATGGCAATAGCTCGACAGTTGACAAGGCATACGAACGGGTTTCTCAGCAGCCGGGGCCGGCAGCCAGCTCTCACAGTGGCTGTCCAAGTTCCCTAAGTCCACCGGACAATGCATTGAATGAGAACTTACAGTACCAGGCCTATGATTGGACACTTGAGAGTATGACACAGATTCCCACTTGGCTCGCTACTGATGACTTTGATATCAATGAACTGAATGCTGCCATTATTGCATCAACCAACATACCAGCGTTATTGCAAAACTCGGCAGACATGGGCCCGATAAGCGACCCGCTCCTGCAGACAGGTGAAAGTCTATCAAATGGCACTGATAAGTTCGAAGACATAGTTTGTCGTCACTGGTTCACACACCCCGAGGCGCCAGGTACAGAGCATGGATTGCCAGATCGAGAATCACGAGCAACCGTTGATGAGCCATACCGAAAAGGTTTAACTGAGCGTCTACAATATCGCGTTCCAACAGACCCCTTGCCATCGACGGACTTCCTAGTATGTGCTTGATGACGCATTTCTCTGCGTAGCTGACCTTTCCAGAATATGTGCATACAGATGTACTTTGCTAGATTCCATCCCATATTCCCCGTAGTCCATGCGCCAACATTCCGACCTTCAACTGCGAACGCTTTGCTGTTACTTTCAATTTGCTCAATCGGTAGTCTGTTTCTAGGCTCCAGACATGGTATTTCTTGTGGCACCAGGATTTTTGAAACACTCAACAAAGCTATACTAGCATCCGTAAGTTATGTTGTTCCTTGGTGAAAGAAAAGTGCCTTGTATTAATGTTCCCAGTGGGAAACATACATTGGAAAAGGAGAGCCTGAAGTACGGTCCATGTCTCAGGCGGCTTTGATAGGTCAAGTGTTTGGTTATTTGAGCGGAGTAAGTATGTCAACATCAACCAATTGGTCTTATCATCTGACAAAGAGAAGAAGCCTAGACATCTCCTGCTGATCCAGGTTTTTCATGGTACCATACTTACGGTATGCTTGCCCTGTGGTAGACTTTCGAAAAACTAATTTAGCCAGTGGGTCCGGAGAATTCGGGTGCTTCGCAGTCACCAGTCGACTTGCGAGATTGAAAGAGAGGAAATCGAACGCGACCCAGAGGGAGCGTGGACTAAATGGGTTGCCAAAGAGGAGCAACGCCGGTTAGACTATCCAAGCGTTCACCGAGTCCCGACTGACCGCGTCTAGCCTCGTAGCAGGATTGGCCATACTCGATAGTGAGATTGCGGATTTGTTTCTTTCAGAACCCTACATGAGACGCCCGTCGCTGAGGTCCTCTATCTCTGACGATGAAATCTGGACCGCGCCAACAGCAGCAGACTGGAGTCGTAGTTTTACCCGACAACTAAGTTCCCATGTGCGTTCGGACTCGATGGCCAAACAAAACAGCTTTAAAGAATATTTTGCCCTGGAGGAGATTGCAGGATCTGTATGTGATGCCCGTATGTCCGATGATTACTCCGCGTTACCTTCACAGCAAAGTGTGCTCGAGAAGTTCCACTGCAATAATATTACCCAGAGAAGTTCTTCCGCTGGCCCTGATAACTTCTGCCTGAGGGCGCTGTGGCACGTTACATTTCTCTCCTCGCTGGTGGATTTTGATCGCTTGGAACTTGCAGTTGGGCGTGAGGGGCATGAAGAGTCACAGAGGCACGTGTGTTACGCTCGAGCCTGGGCTAATTCGCGAGATGGCTGCCGGTGCGTTGTCCATGCAGTCCTGACATTCCGCTGTCTGGAGAGTCTGCCTATAGCGAAGGAGCCACCAATTCACGCGCCTCGGTCTCTACATCGAGCTATATTGGTAATGTATTGCTATCTTCAGTTCAAGGTCATATCCGATCGCACAGATGTCTCACAGCAACCTCTGAACTTTCCAGACCTTAAGCACGCGGGTATTGATTGTGAGAGGATACTTGCGGAGCTCAATGGTCCCGGAATGTGGGGACCGAAGCCCATGCATTCTAGCATGCTGTGTCATTGTATTGACCTATTAAGACGTCTTGGACACTGGGGCCTGGCGCGACAACAGGCTGCAATGTGGGAAGTTGTCGTGTATGGACTGTCGCCAAGCCAATAAGATTTTGATTGAGACACGATCCTGCTGTTAGCTGGCGCTGATTTCTATGCATGTGACTGCTAGGCACCAGAGAGGCTTGCAGGTATAGAGCGGTCGCTGTTATTGGCCTTACAACGAGCCTAAAGGTGTCCGGTAAGACTGATCTCTTGATCCATGACTCTCGAGTGTCACGATTTCGCTAGTCATTAACTTCATTTACGACAGTGGCAATGAGGGATTTTGAGAGATTAAGAAAGAGCTCACCTGGAACAAAGCCTGGGGTGCATACCGGAATCTTCTGTTGCCGATCTCGTACGGAAGGTGCCTTCTAGCTTACTGGACCGTCATCCGGGGATCCAGGCATCCGGCGTCGTTCGACCTCACCCCTGAGGTCTGTGCCTGATGCTGCGTGGCGTTGAGGTCAAAGGCACCACTAGCGGCTAGCCAACACGGCAGCCTACAAATCCAGATCCCGGCTAGTATGGTATGAGATTTGTCTCAAAGGATTAACGAGGGCTTAGCCAAATCTGGGGAGCCAGTCAGCGGGGCGGAAATTGAATTGTTGGATGATTAATTAGCCCGGGGTCTGGTCAGTCGATCGAGCCCGGCATCCGAGTGGTGTGGCCGATCAGACCATCCGGATAGTACCCACCAGGGCTGGAAGTCACCAACAGTACTCAGAGTACATATACTGGATTTTAAAAGCGCTTATTTTTATTGTCAAGCGCGGATGAGGGCATGTACTCAAGCTTGTACACTAATATGGAGTTCAACATGAACTCGACCTTTGCGCCACCGGCGGCGGCAACATATCCCGAGCTCTATGCCCTGGCGAGTCAAAACCCGAAACTGTCTTTTCTGGAGAAGGCGTGGTGGCACACTATGCTTACTGGGATAATGACATTATCGCAACTGGTACGCCCCCCAATGTATTTTCTCTGTCACCTACTAACTTCGATAGGCATCATCACCTTCCTTGCTCACGAAATCCTCTACTTCGCCCGCTGCATCCCGTGGATAATCGCCGACGCTCTACCTACACTCTTTCACCGTTTCAAGATTCAGGACAAGAAGGCACCCCCATCAGCAAAAGAACAATGGAGCTGTGTGAAGTATATCCTTGCTATCCACTTCATTGTCGAAATGCCTATGATAGTCCTGTTCCACCCGATGATGGAGCTCTTTGGCCTCAAATACGCCCTTCCATTCCCAGACCTTAAAACCCTCGCCATTCAGATCACCATCTTCTTCTTCGTCGAAGATACATATCACTACTGGCTACATCGTGCCTTTCACTGGGGCCCTCTTTATCGTGCCATCCACCGGGTGCACCATCAATATGCCGCGCCGTTTGGTCTGACGGCCGAGTACGCCAGCCCATGGGAGACCATGCTTCTTGGCCTGGGCACAATTGGACCCCCTTTGGTTCTTGGTTCCTTCACCGGCGAGGTGCATTTGATGACTGTGCTGGCTTGGGTAGCTCTGCGGCAGTTTCAGGCCATTGACGCGCATTCTGGATACGATTTCCCTTGGAGTCTGAGACGGATCTTTCCACTGTGGGGAGGATCGGACTGGCATGACGATCACCATCGGTACTTCCGGGGTAATTACTCAAGCTCGTTTAAGCATTGGGATAGTGAGTTCCCTTTTAATCCTTGTCGGTGTTCTTGACTAACGAGTTGTAGTCTTGATGGGAACGGTTGCCGGTCCCCGAGGGAAGAAGATGCGGCAGGAGTGATGCATTCAAGTTTCGTTTATTGTTAGTCTCTGTACAGTAATACATAATACTCTAATATAACCTTATGACTCAGAAATTACCTAGCTACCTATGCGTAGATTCTGGATGGACAGTCTGTAGAGCCTACACCGAGTCTCCAACGGATCACGTGTACGTTTCAAGCAATGCTCATCGGCTCTTATCTCGAGCTTAGCGTCATCAGACTCACTCCACATTGACGATATCTACGACACCATTGGTAGCCATAGAAATAAGCACTAGCCAGATTACAAATGGCAATAAAGTTAGATTTCCTCTGCCACTTGGCACATGGCTCGATGCATAAACAATTAACCAGAGTCACAAGTAGTAGGGTGTACAACTGATGTAAATATCTTGCAGGTGAACTATCTACCACTGGACCCCAAGTAATAGTAACTACTGCAAAGATTAATACTTATTTACTATCAAAGTAACCATCTCTACACCCACAACCCTCATCTCATAGATCATGCTTGAAATAAGCACTACCATGACAACTAAACCACACCGACATTCCTGCAATATCACCACCCGATAAGCATCATCATCGTATCCCAAAGACCACCTGTCTTCATCCCAAACCCTTCCTATACAAACCACTCTGTACCACAACCACCACCACCACCACCCACCTCACCACAACCACATCACAACACACCCACACCACCACCACCACAACAACAAACCCACCACAATGCCACCAAAACAATACACCCTCCACCCCGCGCACCCCTCCCACTCCCCCACCCTAGCAGAAACCATGATCCTCTCTCGCCTCACAGACCCACACTGGGCCTTCCTCTTCACGCCCTCCACCACTCCATCAACCATCATCTCCTCGACTATGTCCCGTCTCCCTCATACGCTGACTACAGCGCGGGATGTCCGGAGACATGAAGTCGTCACTACCAGTGGCATAGCATCTACCCCTAGACCCGGGACCGAGGACGCGGAGCACACTACTCTGGAAGATAAAGAGCGAGTAATCGGCTACGCGCGATGGACTCTCCCTCCATCTCTCTCCAACCGAGACGACGTATGGCCGTCCGCACAAGTACCCGAGCCATCTGCCCAGGAGAAAGAACAATTCAAAAAGAGGTATGATCTCGGAAGCGACGAGAAGGGCAGAGTCAAGGGAATGAAAAGCGACGGGTTGTTAGAATATCGAGGGACTCCGTTAGAGGAGGTTGAGGAGAGGGTGTTGAGGGATGTGGTGGGGGGTGGGGAGGAAGTTTTGAGTATGATTTCTGTCCCCCTTTCATATTTATTAACCCCATCTGTGTGGATAATGATATATCTTTGATCATGGGTATGGGTATGGGTATTGCTGATGCTGATATGATCTATATAGCTTTGGAATACCTCACCACCCACCCCGATTACTGGAGACAAGGGGTGGGAAGTATGCTTGTGCAGAGTGGACTACGGGTGGCGGATCAGTACGGCATCAAGACGTATGTGATGTCTGAACCGGCGGGGTTGAAGGTGTATTTAAATCATGGGTTCAGGGTTGTGGATGAGATTACGGTGGAGTATGCGCAGTTTGGAGGGACTGAGCCGACGACGCATTATTTTTTGGTGAGGGAGGCGGTAGTGGTTGTGAATTGAGTACGCAGGCTGTTGGTGACGATCTATTGTATTGTGTGGTGAGTTTACTGTTCATGGAATGAGGGTTAAGGTAATGGTTTGATGATGGATTTCATTGGGCAATAATGCGTGGTGGACGTATGTGCAGACATACTGGCCTTGTAGCAGCAGAGTTATATTATTACTATTGATGTCCTCCAAAACAGCTACCCACAGCTTAGCATCGGCCATTGTCTAGAACCTACTGGCATGTAGCTACAGAACATCCAGTCTGTCATCAGTCAATAGTAGACTGCTACCCCCGGACTCGGCTCGTAGCTGACGCTGTCAGCCGTCAGCTTGACGGACTCCATCTGGAGTGCGACGGATATCTCCGGCCCAGCACGTATCGGACGAGAATGATGTCACGGAGCATTCAAATCCGCCTCAAGTCCAAACTAAAGTTTTCAGTGGCTAGTTACCAATGAATAGGCACAACAAGCTTTTCAGTCATACCACAAATACACTATTATTGGAGAACACAGGGGAAGAGCATGTGGCGGGCCGCCCACTGCAATCCCACGGGCTGACCGCTCGGGTGGCTCAGGCTCTAGAAGTTTCGAACGTGGGATTGGAAGTCCGGGATCCGAGGATGTCGCGGCTGGCTCACCTTCCGTGGCCGGAGAAAGATCGGCACTAGCCCAACGTTTTGTTAACACCGGCGGGTGTAAGCGCCGGAGATATCGTCGGTCACCAGCGCGTCTAGAAAGCCATTGATGCCATTTTCACGGTCGGAAAGGCGGAAATTCGAGATATGTTGGAATTGTAATCACATACAGAAGATGTATAACGAGATCCTTTAGATAATCGAAGATCTCATCGTTGTATGGTTGTAAAGGAAGACCTGTCAGCATCTTATGCTTAACTCCGCTGCACACGAGTGGGCCGTAAGCAGACTGCCGTTAGCGCACCAGGTCCATGGAACCCCATCCCGAACATTGGAACTCATCACCATGCGATGGGTCCCTTGCTAACTTGATCCAATGAAACCCCTCAACCAAGTTCCATGCCGTCGCCCCGTGGCAGGAAGCTTCATACTGAAAACTCTTCGATTGCGGCGAACTGCGCCAGCTGTATGATTGCTGGTAAGCTTCCAGGTACGCTTACCGGCCATTAAGGGGCGCGTAAATCCGATGTCGTAACCCATCCAGGGTCGATCCAAGATCACTGTCGTATGTCATCGAATGGGCTTCGGACGGAACATGTCTCCACCCTCGTCACGCATGAATCAAAAGTGGACCAGAGTCTGCTCGATTTCTAATCTTGTCCCGTTGTCCCGTTGTCCTGGTTGCAAGTGATCCGTATATAAGGGCCAAGAGTACCCCTGGGGAATCGACAATCATACTCCGTGGATAATCATAATCTCCATACCCAAACACTCAACAAAATGGCTGCTTCCGATTACAAGTTTGAGGGCTGGATGGGCCTTGACAAGAACTCCGTCGGCAACATGGTCTGGCAGGAGTTCGAGCCCAAGCCCTGGGAGGAGTCCGATGTCGACATCAAGGTCACCCACTGCGGTATCTGCGGATCTGACTTGCACACTCTCAGAAGCGGTTGGGTATGCATGCTCTTTCACTCCATCCTTTGATTGCCAGCTAACAAGATGTAGGGCCCCACCATGTACCCCTGCTGTGTCGGTCACGAAATCGTCGGTGTCGCTGTTCGCGTTGGTTCCCAGGCCGAGGGTGATATCAAGGTTGGAGACCGTGTTGGTGTTGGTGCTCAGAGCGACTCTTGCCGCGGCCGCAACGGTGACTGCGAGGAGTGCGCCTCTGGTCTTGAGCAGTACTGCCGCCACTCCATGGTTGGCACCTACAACGGCGTCTACCAGAACGGCGGCAAGTCCTATGGCGGTTACTCCCTGTACCACCGCTCTCCCTCTCGTTTCGTTGTCAAGATCCCCGACGCCATCCCCTCCGCCCAGGCTGCGCCCATGCTTTGCGGTGGTATCACCGTGTACTCTCCCCTGAGACACTACGGCTGCGCTCCCGGCAAGCGTGTCGGTATCATCGGTGTTGGTGGTCTCGGTCACTTCGGTATCATGTTCGCCAAGGCCCTTGGCGCCGACAAGGTCGTTGCCATCTCTCGCAAGAACAACAAGAAGGAGGATGCTCTGAAGCTCGGTGCTGACGCCTACATCGCCACTGATGACGATGCCGACTGGGCCAAGAACAACGCCCGCTCCCTTGACCTCATTGTCTCTACCGTCTCTTCCTCCAAGGTATGTCTCTTCAATGCATCTGTATCGTACTCAAATCTAACATTTGCAGATGCCCATGGTGGACTACGCAACTCTGCTCGACCTCGACGGTTGCTTCGTCCAGGTCGGTGCTCCCGAGGACGGTGCCCTTGAGATCCCTGCCTTCGCTCTGATCGGCAAGCGTGCCAAGCTGGGAGGTTCCCTCATCGGAGGCCCCAACGAGATCCGTGAGATGCTTGCCCTGGCTGCCGAGAAGAAGGTCCAACCCTGGATTGAGGAGCGCTCCATGAAGGACGCCAACAAGGCCGTTGTGGAGATGGATGCTGGCAAGGCCCGCTACCGCTACGTCCTGAGCAACGAGCTGTAAGCAACCATCACTTGTATATAATATAGAGTAATGAGTATATAGACGAACGTGACGCACCTTAGACTATTCTTTCGAATCCTCTGACGATGTATTCTTTTCCTGCAAGTATAATTGTCTGGCCAGTTCGCCACGAGCTATCCCCGAGAAGTTGGGTCGTAGATGGTAGCTGAGCTCCGGCGGGACCGATGGAGTATTTGAGCTGCCAACCGGAAGCAGAGTCCCATTCTTCCCTCCTAGCACTGACTTCCCGTCCCGATTTAACGACTGTTGTAGATGAACCTCTGGGACGAGAATGTGTCTGAACCTGGTGCAGAGCCAGGTACGTACCCCAAACTCTCCCAAGGAAAGTCTTTTCCACTTCAACCTCCTCCCCTTCCTCCAGGGGTTTCTGCTTCGACTCGAGAACCCACGAAACACCCGTATTGGGGCCCTCGGGGCCCTCCCGGAATTTCAACTCACGCCAGACCTCCTCATACTCTGCGATCGGGGCACCAGGCAGGTCGGCACGGGGCATTTCGCCCTTCTCAAGATCATCGCCGTTAGGAAGAGCGGAGAATGTACCGCAATCGACGGCGTCAAACGAGTTCCTAGAGTCGAGTTCATGCGTGAACGACACTCGACCTATAACCGTTAGCCTCTCAATGAAAGAATCAGCTGGAAGTGGTCATACTGGAATCTGCATCATCGACAACTCGCTGGCCCGCAATAGCCCAGTCGATATCCCCGGAGGTTTTGTCAACGCGAAGGTCGACGTACCAGCCTGCGACCGACATGACTATTGTGTCGGTGTTCTCGAAGGCGGGCTCGGGGACCCAGCGGATAGAAATCCGCGTCGAGAGACGGCTCTGTGAAGGAGGGTTTTCAGCAGCCATTGTAGGAATTTAGTGATGAATAGTAAAAGGTAGAACTTCAGGAGCAAGAGGGTGCAGTTAACGAAGGAAAAGAATGACACATATGAGGACCTTGGTTGAGTGTGTCGGCTAGACTGAGTAGTTCGACGCTATCGTTGGCTTACCCCGCACGGCGTCGGCCGAGCAGCGCCGAATTCGGCGACACCGCCATATCAGCTCCACGGCGGAGAGTATTCCAGATTTACGTGTAAATACAGCATCTTATTGCACATAATAGGTAGCTGGTTTGAAGTAATGGTTTGAGATTATCGAAGTTCCGTGTACTTCACTTCTTATAGGTATACAGCCAAATTCGAGCATGGCATTAAGCCTTCTTCGGTTGACCTTATCTCCCCAGCAGGCTCAACAATAATACCAGAAACCCCGTAATATATCGACCGATCTATTCGGACTCTTTCAACCAGAAGTAGTAGTCGTAGTTGGATTCACAAAACTCGTCGAGTTCCAATCCGTAGCCATCTGAATTCAACCCTCGTCAGTATCAACACAACCAACCAAGAATAAAGCCAGTCCACTCACATTCCAAGCATCAATTCTGAGCAGGCTAGTATTAGCCGTTTCCGCCACATTGGTTAATATACCGATAGCTATTCATCATATTAGCGTACCCCATCCATCAAAATACCTCCCTCTCCAAAGACTGCAGAACCCAACATACCAACAACATTATTCAACCAGTAATACTTCCGACTACCCGTCTCAAAAACCAGTCTCAGATGTAGCTGTCCACTGGGCGACTTCGGCCCAGATGTCTGAAGGAAAATATCCTCTCCATCATCGGTCCGGAAGTTGTATCGGGTGTCTGCGCTGAAGATGCCAGTTTGGGGATCGACTAGGCCCCAGTCGGCGCCGACGTCGAGAATCTTGCCTGTTAAAGGATGTTAGTAACTGATGTGAAGGTATGGGATATGGGATATAGGTTACCAGATAAATTAGGACCAGTGAAGTTTCCACCCACGATTGGAATTGTACGTCGCACGCCGTGAGGGCCAGGAGAGCTCATGAGACTTGATTCACATTCGACGTAGGCCGTGTATAGGAATGATAGTTCTGGGGGAGATGGTGAGGAGGTAGCTACAGGAATGTTGGGAGAAAGTAGAAGAAGGGCCTGGAGGGCTACTGTGGCCCAGTTTGAGAGGGAGGACATGTGCATGGTATGAATGGGACTCTTATCCGGTTATAATAGGAGATAATATCAAATGATTCCAATCGACAGCCATTGTGTCGGACTGATATCGATGATTTAGCTGGTACTTATAGAAGATGCAGACGTCTGCTTTTTGGAGGCCAAACCTCGGTTCTCTGAGCTCTGTATTTGGTACCAATTACCAACGAAACAGTGGACACAAAGTTTATAGTGTTTTAGAAAGAAATGCCGGTCCAAACAGCCGATAATTTAATTCATGGATGGCTACTTCTGACTTCATCTTCTAGCGCTCGCCCCTGATCTACTTACCCCGCATCAAAAGCGGACCGGATATCTCCACCCCTCACGGCTGTCCGGGCCTGCGTTGGAATAAATCCCGATGATGTGCTGATGCCAATATTCATGGTGCGTTCGGGCGAATGGATCTCATACTTCACGAGGAGTAAAAATAAGCTTGCACTTCTGTCCCTTCGGTCGAGACGAGATGATTTGGTCGTCGATCTCCATGGAGCTAGTCATGTCCGGAGCCACCGTCGTCTGGAACCGGGAATAAACTTCTTGGAGAAGGATCTTCATCTCAACAGTCGCCAGGCTTTCAAGAGTTAGATCCGAAGTCACGAAGATACTAAATGCAACTTACTTTCTTCCAGTGCACCCTCTCCCTCCGGTGCTAAAAGCAAAAAACAATCGGTTACGCTCGTTGATGCCATCTTCCTCCATCCAGCGATCCGGATTGAAAGTATCTGGATCCGGGAATACCTTTGTGTCGAGGCGATGTACACTATACGGCTGGCAGCTGACGATGGTTCCCTCGGGGATGAAGGTCCCATCAATTGTTCTACCACCGCTGGGTACATAACGAGGGAATGACATGGGAATTGGCGGCGCACAGCGCAAGGCCTCCTTGATTACAGCATCGAGGTACGGCAATCGATCAATCTGCGTACCTTCTGGTGCTGAGCGAAGCTCCTCATAAAGACGGTCTTGAAATCGAAAGTTGTGCGGTTGCGACAACTCCCACATCAAAAAGCACAAGCCATCGCCTGTTGTGTCGATTCCTGCCGCCATATGGTCTTTGCATTCTGCTGCTGCTTGTGACCTGGAAATGGACGAATCCTTTCGCAAGAGACGAGCAAGGAGACTGTACTCGTCTGGACTTGTTTGGGCTGTGACTCTATGGACGTATGCGTTGGATTTAGGGGCCCGACGGGGTAGCAGCCAAGAAGGGAAGTATGGAGCTAGATGTGGCAGGTAGTAAGGAAGTAGGTTTTCTGTATCCATTAGTAGTTCCTTTATCGCACAGAAAGCAACATACTCTGTAAGCTGTTATGGTAGGTCATTTCCTCCATCAGCTCGAAATCATTTTCATCGGTGAGAGATTTCAATCCGCTAGGACTGAACATGAAGTGTGTTACGCAGTCAAGTGCGTAGCAATGTAGATAAACCTAATGAAGTTAGTATGACAAGTCAAGTATGATCTGGATTCCTTACATACATAGACATCCACACTCTTCGCCACAGCAGCACACTTGGATATGAATGCTTTAGCGCTATCTCGGATTGCCGACACATGATGTTCTCGCAGTATGTTTGACATGGCATATCGATCGGCTAATTGTCGCTTTCGTTCGCTGTGCTTTGGACGGTCAGCTAATGAGTCTCAATTCCACCGTGAGAAACCTACCGTCTGCTTGTCGAGTGTAGAGAACATTGTCCTGGAAATGATTAGTATCCGGAGAAGATCAAATATGCGCGACCTACTTGATCCCAAACTGGCGAAAGAGGTTATATAACTCCGTCTTATCATAGCCACTGCCGCCTGAAGCGTAAATCTCTCGAATGGCATCCAAAGATGCAAATGAGACCTCGTTGGGTGCTATCCGCACCACAGTGCCATACCGCTTATGTAGCTGATGGATGAACATCCGACGGCTAGCCGAGAACTCATGGTACTTGATAACCAGGCTTGTAAACTTGGTATACCAAGGACCAGGAAGTTTAGAAATGGAACTCGAGAGCCGCTGATAAAGAAAGACAAGAAGAATGACAATAGCAGCACACCAGAATCCTAACATCGTTCCTGATAAACCGATCCTTGAGTGAAGTCGGTACAGTATTCGAAAAGCGTGCTAGTAGAGATATCTATAGACAGAATTGAAGGACGATAAGGCAAGCAGCAGTCAGTGCGCTATCCTCAAAGGGAAACAGTAGGAGATCAAATCACACCAGCGGGATAGATAATCCTCGCACCCTATTGTAGTCATGGATTTGTGCGGCGCTAATTTAGGGAAAACACTAACAACTCCTGGGTTGCATTATCGTGCGGGGTGGTAGCGATCGGGGGTGGCCAGCTGATAAGATTTCCTCAACCATCACATTACTGTTGGCTTGGACCGTAGAGTGGATGGTTATTCCATGGACCAGCTAAAATTTCAAGAAACATCTCGTTGATAATGAGATATAGAGCTCCTGGTCCAATGAACTACCTAATCAAGGAAATCTTAACTAAATATTGAGGTTTGGTTAATTCGAAAGACAGTGCTAAGGTTCCATTTCCCTATGCTCAATCTGTGAAGACAATTCAGAGGCTGCCGTGTACTGATAAGAAGGTTTCCACAATCATCCCCCCATCCATGTCGTTCTCTATCAGAATCATGCTATCCTCGCCGGTGGTCTTCATTTGCTTTGCAAAACGCCCGCTTTAGTAACTTTTGAAGTGACGAATAATGCTAACGTGCCATACCGATACACTATCCATTTCGCTGCAATGTATGGCCTGGCGATACGAATGATGATGATAGCCGTCAGCACCGGTGCGTCCTGCCTTCTCACAACTACATCTGACACGCGCCAGATGGCTGCTCGTGATCGGGCAGGAAGAAAGTACTGGCTCTAGAGAAGTTGAAGGTGATAGGCGTCAGGGGCATCTGGGGCATGTTTGCAAATAAGACTCATTGTCTGTTTCTCCTAGACGTTAGCAACAATGATTCTGTAAGCTAGGATTAAGTCAGTGGGCCAATCTAATGATGTTTGGTTCGGCATCGACTGCAACGAAGAAAATAGCCATCTTCAAAAGCACCCTTGCATACAAGATTGCCAAGGAACATCATACCGCAATGACGGCAAGTCTTTGTGTTATAAAGCAGATTGTGGCCTTGCTCTACACCAGCCTTCATACTACAGATCTTCTTCTGCAGCACCTCGACCTGTGCTTTCAAACTCTCCACTGTTCTGTTTGTTGTAGTCAGGCATTCCTGAGTAACCATCAATTGTGGCTGCGTCCACTCATACCTTGCCTTCATGGCCATGATCACGCATCTGCTCAAATCGTCATCGATGAGCTTCTCCAGCACTTCGGTCTGGCCAAAGTCGTCAATATGATCACTAATGAGTTTAGATAGCTTCTGGCGTATTGTTGTATCAGCTTGTTCGAACACTTCCTTGACAAACTCAACAAATCCTTTCGGATTCCAAGCCATTTTAGTCGCGGTCTCTATGTGATTTGCTGCCTTGTTTTTCAGGTCTTGCAAGTGATATTCGTCCGCAATATAGTAGACGTAGATATGGGGGCGCAGTCTTTCCGCTGTAGTGGGCTTCTTTGAAGCGTCTGCCGAGATGCTTAGCTCACTCTCTTGAGGTAGTTCTAGTCAATCGTGTGTTAGCAGAGCTAAATGACCGAGGAATGTACGTGTCCTCGTACCTTTATCAGGAATCGCATAATCTCCGAAGTATAGGAACTCAATCATCAGTTTCACTGTTGCTGTATCATATCCCTCGATCTGAATGACTGCCTCAGGAGCACCCTGTAGGATTATTATTGGCTCCGTATGGAGGCGTAATAGAAGTATCGCCTCACCTCAGACGCGTCTTTGTATTTATGAGATAGGATCTCAGACTGGGAACAGACGATGGCTTTGTGCACATGGAATGCTTCTCCTTCACACTCAATCTTGAGGTCACTGTACTGTCCAGAGTCTTTGAGATTGTGGAGGAACAGAGGAAGGGTCTCTTTCGATGACATATCTGACAAATGGGCTTTGCAATAGCTTCGGATACAAGTGAAGTCTAATATAAACTATTAACAGCGATAATAGACGATTTTGAAGTGAAAGTGAGGATTGATATAAAGGAATTGAGGATAAAAGGGATGAAGAGGAAGTGAATAAATAGTGTTAGCGACGTGGACTTGAGGGCCCGCCATGGCTGATTTTGTTGACCTTCGGGTAATGCAAACGTATATGCTCAAAGTTTGTCTTCGAACCATTTTCAATTTCAAAAGGAAAGAACACTCAAATTGTGTTTCTCCACCACATATCTGAACAGCCCGATCAGTATGGAAATGGGAAGCGCGTTATCTATGTAAATACGTACTTAATGTGCTTCTCGCGGCCTACAAGTGCTATGTGAGAAACGCGATATGAAAGTTTCGGCTCTAATACTTGGAAGAGGTAGTATTGTGGAAGCTCTTAATTCATCATTCTTCTCTTATATAATCTATCATAGAGAGCCTTGGTGTCTGAAGGGGGGTTTCCATTTGTGATCGAACCTCTACGTTTCTGCCTTGCGACGAAGCGTCTGCACCGCCTCTTCCCATAATTTGCCATCGCGCCAGTACCCTTCAACAAGTGGCTTCCTGCCAGGACGACCAGCACGCGGCAGCTCGTTGAGCCATCCCCAGCGCAGCTTCTCCTTCCAGCCCTTCTCTTTCCAAGGATTGAGGTCAGAGGACGGTGAGTCATTGAAAGTGGGGAGATGCAATAGCAAATCAGAATCATGGGCTATGCATATCAGAACGTTTTCAGATGCCTCAAAGTCTAACAGTTTAGTGACAGACTTCTGTGCAACCTCCGCGTCGAAAAAGGCGCTCCCTTCGTAACCAGAAACCTCATAGAAGGGTTCTTGTCTCGGGTCAACCTTGGCTATCGGGTGGCTATTTGTGAAAATGCTGCATGGGCATGGACTTGGAAAGAAAGAATCTTTGTCCAAAGCCTCTGACGGGATGTTGTCGGGGAATGGAAGCCTGGCGTTCGGTCTTATGACGCCCGGAAAGTGGCAGATGTCCCCACCAAGAAAGACGAAGGTGTCAGCCGTTGTCCGGGCAAGGCCGCATAAGTGACCGACGCAGTGCCCAGGCGTGTCTAGTCATACAGTAAGCAGCTCCAGCTTTTCACAGGAAGATCGATTGACTTACCCAGCAAGTAGAATGAACCATCCCCAAAGAAATCTTGTGCACGAAACCCTCCGATCGTCAATCCGTCTTCGAAGTCAGGCTCAACCACGTCTCTCCCAACGAAGGCATCCGCTGACACTGGAGACTCAGCGTCTTCTGGGAAGCCAGGCAACAGATGAGGGTGTGATTTGAACCCAGGGCCTACAACCAAGGTGGTTGTTGGGGGAAACAGAGCCACGTTTCCTATATGATCCCAGTGGTAGTGAGACCATATGACAGACCCTACACAGTCAGCACTTGTTAGAAGAGAACGCATGGATATAAACCGAAGCTTCTTACCAATGTCGCGCAGTTCGATGCCCTTCTCACAAAGGATTTCAGTGACATCCTTGTCTACTCTCGCGGCCTTCATGGCTTGATCAAAAGGCTGGCGAACGACTGGAGGGAGGTTCCAGTAGTCCTTTCGCGTGCCGAGGTCGAACATGACCTTCTGATTTGATGCCTCATGTTCTATAAGAAAGGCAACATCGGTGAGGTTCAAAATCTCATGGCCCGGCTGCACTGGTTGTATGAGGAATCCGGTGTTGACAGTCATCAAAGTGGTGGTATCGACCATTCGCACCCGAACGGTACGGTCGGACTTTGGAAATTCGAGCATTTCGCGGTTGGCCTCGGATGGCTTGAGCAATCAAGTAACAGATATGTCTGCAGCGTGCATATTCTAGCGATGGATTTGCGACCGTGTCTGGAATTGTGCGCTCTATATATGCAAAGAATGGGGTGGTTTCACCGAGAATAGCCAGTGTGTAACGCGTATTGGCTCACGCGTATCCATCCACCCACTTGGTCCAAAATTGTGCCATCCACCCCCTCACTTGCCCCTCCCACTAATTCGCAGCATCAAACCCCACGCTTGGTTCAAGTCCACTGATAACCATCAAGTACACACAGTAAGGAACAGTCTAATGCACCCTATCGCGACAGTCCAGGCTTCGGCCATTTTCCCACATGATAGGCCTTACTGAGTGACAGGGATGATGATAGCTGAGTGCCAAATGGCAGATTATATATTGGATCGTCGGTGCGCCCGCATCTACGTCCTCCAGCTAAGTTTGGCTCACTGTCTCCACCTCTAACTTAATCGATTCAAGCCTCGAGTATTTTGTAACTCACCCCACAAACATGGGCTCCATTGATCAGACCGCGCATACCAATCCGGTGTTCGAGAAATATGGCCTACCCGGGGATAGTCGCCTTGGGAGTAATACCCCGGGGCCTCATCCTGCCTCAGTAACTAGACCCGTCCAACATGCGGAACTCAACAAACCATCCGACCGGGGCTATACGGTTCACAGTCATCTGATCAACGAGCCGCCACTGGGGAAACCGTTCAAGATAATCATGATGGGTGCGGGAGCATCGGGGATCGACTTTCTCCATTATGCCCCATCGGCGCTAGCTGGACTGGGTGTGGAGATCGTGTGCTACGGGAAGAACGCAGATATCGGGGGTACTTGGTATGAGAATCGATACCCGGGATGTGCATGCGATGTGCCTAGCATCGCCTATTCGTTTCCGTGGCGTCCAAACCCAAACTGGTCGAGTTTCTATTCGAGTGCAAAGGAGATATGGGAGTATCTGAAGCAGATCGTCGTGGAAGAAGGCATGATGAAGTATATCACACTAAACACCCGCGTCGTATCGGCAATTTGGAACGAGGAAAAGAGTAAATGGGTGGTCAAGCTGCAACAAGATACGCCGTGTGTGAAGGAGTGGGAGGATGAGTGTGATGTCTTAATAAACGGAGCTGGATTTCTCAAGTGCGTCTTATCCCCTTCCATCGTCGCATTCACCCTCCTGACCTCAGAGTAGTTCCTGGAAATGGCCTGACACTCCGGGACTGCACTCTTTCCAAGGAACCCTGTGCCACACAGCAGCCTACCCCGAGGGACTGGATCTGAAGGACAAGCGTGTAGCAGTGATCGGATCGGGCAGTTCAGGGGTTCAAGTCGTTCCCTCAATCCTCAACGACGTCTCACACCTCTACACCTGGGTGCGAACCCCAATCTGGATCACGGCTGCTTTTGCGCAACGCTACGCTGGAAAGGACGGCCGCAATTTTGACTGTACGTGGCATTCCCTGCCACAAAAGATAAACACTAATGCCATCCAGATACCCCAGAGCAGAAGAGCGAATTCAACAAAGACCCCGAGATGTACCACCGATACCACAAATCAGTCGAGCATGAGCTCAACCAACGCGCCAAACTTACACTCCGCAACACCGCTGAGTCGGACGAAGCGAACGCTGTACGTGCTTTTACAAACCTAACAACCCCAGATACTTACCCGCACATTAGTCCTCCTACAAGAGCATGTCCGACAAGCTCGCACCAAAACCCTACGTCAAGGACGCCCTAATCCCCAAAACCTTCAACGTAGGCTGCCGACGCCCAACACCAGGCACAGGCTACCTAGAAGCACTCGCATCCGACAAGACGACCGTGTTCACAGAACGAATCCAATCGATCACACCGAAAGGGTTCATTGACTCCGCAACAGGAACCGAACATGAGGTAGACGTCATCATTTGCGCCACCGGATTCGACACATCGTTCCGACCCCGATACCCTATCATCGGGCTGGACGGCGTTAACCTTGCCGACAAATGGAAAGATGCTCCGACCAGTTACTTGACAGTTAGCATCGACGGATTCCCGAACTACTTCATGTATGGAGGTCCCTTTACGCCTGCGGCACATGGGTCCATTCTCCCCATTATCTCCCACGTGACGAATCACTTCATCCAGATCGTCAAGCGTATGCGGAGAGAGCATATCCGGCGACTCAGTCCTAAGGAGTCCGCAGTGCGAGATTTTGTCGAGCACGCTCGGACATACTTCCCCAGGACGTGTTGGTCTGATCCCTGTTCTAGCTGGTTCAAGCAGGGCAGGGTTGATGGCCCGATTACCATCTGGCCTGGCTCTCGATTGGCATTCTTCGAAGCACTGAAAACACCTACTCTGAGCGACTACGAGATCGAATATTGGAGTGGAAATAGATTTGGATACTTGGGATGTGGGTTCGTGGATGCGGAATTTTCCGGGGGTAACATCACCTGGTATCTGGATCGGTATTCGGACAATGAGGAATGGAGGAAACATGGCGTTTGGTACGACAAAGAGCAGAAGGAATTTGCGCATATCAGCGAGAAGGCAGGTTCTAGCTAATGAAGCTAGTTGTATCATACAATTGGTGTAACGACCGTTTCATAAACACTCAACGCAAAGGTCATCCCCGGTAGTCCACATAGCAATCAAAAGATTAAACCCAGGCTATCACAACTTATGATTAACTTAGTCGGTATACAAACGCTCAGGCATTCTGAGAATCCACCTAATATTATCCTCGACCATAGCATTTGCGACTCCAGTCTGCGGTAAGACATAGATGCGACGAAACTCATGAGGCATGCCGGAGAATATTTCGATGGAAAGTTGAACACTAGTAGACCATCAGTACAGCCCCCGTAAGTGAAGAAGGTAAGAAAAACAAAGCCCTACCCAGCTTCTTCCATGCATTGCGCAAGTCTCAACGCCTGATCCCTCAACAAGCTCTGTCCCGCAACCAGCATAAAAGTCCTCGGTAATCCCGAGAAATTCGAACATTCCCCAACAGTGAAATGCGACAAATTGGACGCCTCCATTTCGAGCATGTCTCTATACATGTGGTGGACAGCCATCGGCAGAAACGGCGCGTTCCAACACTGATACCTCGAAAACTCGGTCTGCGCGCTCTTCTCCACATCCATATGCGGAAACCACGGGGTAGTCAAGTTCAACCCTACAATGTTAAGTCTTTGCGTCTTGGATACTACCTCCGTCTTCTTCGCGAACATGGCAACCCATAGTGCCAGCGCAGCGCCAGAGTCCTCCCCGCCGAGGATGACGCGTTTCGGATCCCCGCCGTAACCTCTAATTCGATCCTGGATGAACTCGAATGCCTCCCAGGCGTCATGATACATGGCTGGAAAGGGTTCTTCCACGGTACTTCGGTAGTCGATGCTAATGACGATGATGGGGCAGGTAGGCGTCAGGCTACTGACCATTTCGGCGCAGATGGCATCCTCGGTGTCCAGATCTCCGCAGAGGAATCCGCCCCCGCGAAAGTGGATGTATAGGGGGAGCGGATCCGCGGTGCCTCGTTGCCCAAAGAAGGCTATGGGATAGTAGAGTCGGATGGAGATGGGGTTGTTGGGCTCTTTGACTCGGGGGATGGTGGAGTTGCAAATCTTGACTCTGGATTCGTAGCCTGGTTATTGACTTCACGTTAGCGGGGGATCATAGCAGGTATCTAAGGGGGTAAGTATATCAGACCTTTCCTACGCTTTTCATGCTGAGCGCTTGACGCCCATTGATAGGTGATCTTGGCATCAAAATCCTCTTGGTAGGGAAACTCGTCGTCCGGAGAAGTCAGCCCGCACCAGGGGATCCCGTTTTCATGACAGAAATCTATCCATTGACTGGATGGCTCGTGAAGGTGCCAAGGGTCGTAATTACGGGCTTCAGCGACTCGGCCTTGAGAAGGAATTTGATGAAATGTCATGTTGCGTCAATAGCAGAAGAGGACGTAGATGGGCGATGGGATATGGATGCACCGCTTAAGTACCCTTTTATATTGACTTTATCTGAGGATAAAAGGGAGATCTGGAGCTGCGAGTGCGGGAAGACTATTTTTGAATAATCGAGGGAATTTCTTTGTTGCGGTCTTTTGCGAGGGTGACACAAAGACGGATGGATGCTCCCGAGTTCTTTAATGTTGGCTTTGTCGAACAACCTTTCTTTGGGATTAGCGATGCTAATGTGTGTCTCTGGAAGATCTCCATTCATCAAGCTATAGTATGCTTAGGTGTTGATCCATCACCTCTTGAGCCCTTCCTTCCTGATATGGTTATAGACAAACGCAATGTGTCGACCCCACAAACACTACATAGTGTCTTCTGTATCATGCTGAAATGGGTTCCTGCCTTTCCATAGGCAGCATACAGTATGGAGATTAGTAGTAGTAGTAGGTTACAATCAATACATAGTCCCTTTTATCCACTAATCGTAACTATTATTTCCACCGATCGTTGTATAACTAGTGCCTATCAGCACACCTCGGAGATCCCCCCACGTAGATGAACCCCCAAGATAATCGATTGATCAATCTTGTACAGGGAAACCCCTCACCAGGTCCCAATGGTACACATCACTACCCTAGGAGGTAAAGGCACGACTATATTTGCAACAGATGCTGGACTAGCGGAGCGAGCGTAGACATTTCGGGTTTTGGGAAGCTGTTGTGCCGGGTGAAAAGACCCTGCGGAACATAAAGTAGCCTTGGAAATTCCGCTTTCCGCTGAGTAAGCAGTCATATACAATCGTGTTTATAGATATTTGATCGCACGGTGCGTTATGAAGGTGTTGCCTTTGAATTCCATACTGCTCAACTCATTTCCACTACTCTCATTATTTTTTTTCCCACTCGTTAGGCTCGTTTTTCTTTCTTTGATCTGGAACCGTCGAAATGTCCACCTGGCGCCCCGGCAAACGAGTCGCTATCGCAGGCGGTGGACCCGGTGCTATATCCACAGCGCTGGCATTCATCAAGCGTGGCTACGACGTGCGGGTATTTGAGCGACAAACCGAATGCCGTGCCATCGGAGGCGCGGTTCTCCTTTCCATCCCTGTGCTTGCGATTTTGCGCTCCTACGGAATTAGCCTCGAGAACTTCGGATCCTATACCTCGACCTACTTCAAGAACAAATGGGGCAAGGAACGGGCCCTGCTGCCATTTAATGAAGAAGTCGAAAGACGGATGGGCATCAAGGGTTGGCAATATGGCGTCTTGCGTTCATCTGCTTTTCAGAAAATGCTCGATCTTGTCCCCGATGGCGTCATTTTCTGCAGTCACGAAGTGACGGGATACGAGGAGGTCGAAGGTGAGGTGGAAGTCAAGTTCAAGGATAGCAACATCACACCCATAAAGGCCGATATCCTAATTGCAGGAGATGGTATTCGGTCCGCCGTTTCGCGTCAGGCATTTGGTGACCCGCATCTGTTCCACACAGGCATCCGGCTTTGGCTCGCGTGGTGTGATCACATCCCTGGGATTCCTGCCAACACTGGTGTCATCTCACACGACTGGCAAAACCAAGCGAGCTTCTTTCCTATGTTACATGACGGCAAGCCGGGATTCGAGTGGTGGGTTGTCGAGCCGGGGTGGGAAGGAAAGCCGCTTCCTGAGGATCGCAAGACCTACGTAGAGAATATTCTGCAGGGCTGGTCGGACCCCATGCGGCAGCTGGTGGAGGCCACTGATTTCGATACGCAAGTATATCGGTGAGACATTTACAATCGGCCATCGATGAAGACGTGGTCTACTGGGAGGATCGTGGGTGTGGGAGATGCGGTGCATCCTGTTTCGCCATATGCGGCGTACGGAATGGGGATGGCTGTCGAGGATGGGTATTATCTTGCCAAGGCGCTCGAAGGAGTTGATCTACGGGATTCGAGGGCTGTCAGTGCAGGCTTTGAGTTGTTTGAACGACAACGTGTGGACTATGTAAATCATCACATGGAGTTTGCTCGGTTTTTGAGTTATGTGTTCCATAATTTACCTTGGCCATTGGCGAAGCTGAGAGACTTGGTGTTTGATTATACACCATTTTTGAGAATATTGCTGCAAAAAGAATATTTGAAAAGATCGGAGGATGAGACAATGGATCTGAAGGAGCTTCATGTCGTTTAAGTGTGTCAGTGTACTATGGATTCTTCTCTACTGGTAGTAGACCAGTAGGCTTTGTGTATAATGAAGTGTTCTATTAATGATGGAGCCAGAAGCCTCGGCAGAAGCATACTTGGTACTTAACAGACATGATAAGCCATGATATGCTCTTTGTCTTCAAGAGTTCAGACTAATCCGCGCAGGTCTCTCTATTCTTCGACATCCACAATGCGAGGACTGGCCTGGTTCGGTGCGTGGAAATAGCGGCCACACGGAGATCACTGACCCACCCAGAAAAAAGGTTACTGACTCTTTTGTACTATTCAATCTTTGCAAGAGCTTCAAGATGGACACGTCTACCGAGAAGGATCAACAAGGTGTCCACTACATGGAAATCGGGAGAATATAAATCATCGAATGTGCTGATATCCAGACTGGCAACAACTGGACCCTCGTCACGGGTACCTAACCCCACTAAAAGTCTAATCTCACATCTTGGCTTCCTTTATGGGTTTAGACTAGGCCGGTCTGGGGTTCGAACCACACATCGTGACACCAAACAGTGGTGACAAAGCAATGTGGCAACGGTGTGTGCCTTTTTCGCTTCGCCGATGTTCAAACTCTGCTATACATCTGTCTCATCATCATGTGCATCCGCTGATGAAGCCCTGCTTGATGGTTGTTGGCCTTTCACTCCGCTCACCCTAACCTCAAGTCTGTGAGCTTTGTCGCTAAATTCGCAGCATGGTCCTCATTGGAGAATATACCATAAAATTTTGGCTGGACGATCTATCGAAGTCACTCTATTGCGCTTCCCGATACACATGACCTCCGATCGGACGTCTCCAGAAGTCCCAGCTAAAGGTATTTTACCCCAATCAACTACCGAGGTAGATTCTCGAATTAACTTCTCAACCTTCTAGACTGCCAAGTCTGCAGAACGCGTCGTATCTCCTGTGATAGAACGCTCCCCCATTGTCGAAAGTGTGCTTCACGGAAACTTCAGTGTCCTGGATATGGGATCAATCTACGATGGGGCCAAGGTGTCGCAAGCAGGGGTAAATTGACGGGACAGGCAATACCGGTCCAAAAGAATTCCCAGACATCGCAGGTCTCTCATCGCCGAGTAGACATCGCTGTACCCAATGTGGACCTTCAACTACCGGCCCGATGGCCCGGCTTGCCCTTCGACAGCCTTACTGCTCAATTGCTCGACCACTTCGATCGAGGCGTTGCTACAAGGCTAGCATGGGTGGATGACCTCCACAATCCTTGGAGAAGCGTAGTATTACCTCTGTCGCACGACTCATCAACCGTACGATATTCAGTGCTTGCTCTCGCATCGAAGGACCTTGCGGCCAAGTATCCAGCAGACCATCATTGGGCACAGTCGCTCCAAGCCATCTCCCGTCACAACCAAAACGTGGCCCTGACCTGGTTATCAAGAGACATGAGACACCTACTTCAGGATCCGACCGCGGCTCAAAGCAAAGATCAAGCGAGACATATCCTCGCTTCTGCTCTCCTTCTCTACAACCTTGAGCTACTAACAGCACCGGCTGCCCAATGGCGAATACACATACAATGCGCCCGGGAAATCATTCAGTGGAACCTACAATCCGCCAGCAGTGCACTATACACAAATGTGGCCGATGTATTCCTATTCTACGAGTACTACTACACGTCTGTCTACATCGGATTAACCACATTCGATCCAATCGACCAGCTACAAGATGACTTCCCGACACATGACAACGTCACAGTATTCAGTGACTTCATTCGAATCATGCATAGCGTGACCCGCGCCGAGCGACAAACATACACTACGCAGCCCATCTCGCACCCCGTCCCGATCGAATCCACACTCCTAGACATTGAAATCGCCAAAGCTCGAATGATGCAGATGAGCCACACAATCAAGTTCAAATCAGACCAAGCACGACAGGATTTTGAATGCCTAGTAGACATGTTCTATCATGCCACGCTTATCTACACTTACCGTGTCTTTCCCAACACCATATCTCCCGACAAATGCATACAATCTTCGCTCGATGTGCTTCTCGACCACGCGCTACCCCTATCATGCAGCCCCGCCGTCGCGCAGGACCTAGTATGGCCACTCTTCATCACAGGTACAGAATCTAGAGGCAACCCACAGATGCAGAACCTTGTCGAGACGGCCATGATGAACGTGATCCGAATGAGTGGGAACCTTGATCGGAGCCGCGTTCTTTCTTTCCTCAAGACCTTCTGGTCGTTGGATCTCGAACCTGGTACTACCTGGATTCAGTATGCTCGGGACAGGTGTATCGACTTTAGCTTTTTGGTGATACTTTGAACATCATTGTGGGTTTGTTCAATGCTATTCCTGTTCTGTATATATTTATGATCGAAATAATATGAGAATAAATACCAATGAAACCGATAGTTGCAAAATATATCCTGTCATATGTGCTGATCCTACTAACAGCCTGGCTACATATATCTGCGAAGACTGATGTTAATGACAGTGATTACATAGGAGATAGGTTGTTCTAGATGAGTAGTGTAAATTACCTTCCTCTTACAGCTTAGCTTGTCTTGGTAGGAGGGTAGACATATCATTACGACGGAAGACGCGGTATCTTATACTATGGCTATTGGCAGTATCCATTTAAGCAGCTTTCATCCTGATTATCAGGCTACGCGTGATTGACGGATGCGGGTGCAAGGCTTTTACTGGGTTTGATATTGGTAATGAGTTTGAATTTTACGAGATTCGATTTATTCTTTGGTACTCTTCAAGATAGATAATTGGATCTTTCTAATATTGCCGCAACATGGAGTCCTTGTACTCAATCATGGATTGCTTCATTGTCTGCTTCATTGGTCCTATCCTTGGCTTTGGTCTTGTATAATATCCCCAATTATAAGAAAGGGAACCATGACATAACCGGAATCGGAATATATCGAAGCAAAGAAACCGAGAATATACTATATCGGAAGAAGTAGTAAGGATGTATAGGGCTCGTTCGAAACTGCAGTGACTGACTTCTGCAGAGCCATCACGAACACAAACATAAAATTGCACCAATTGGCCCATTACAAGATCACCGTAGACTCCTCTGCTGCTTCACAGTCGACCATAAACTGAAGCCGGTTGGTTCGAACCGGGCAGAGGTTTCGCAGAAGAGGGGGGAGAAGAAGGTGAGGACTGCTGGGACTTGACTCCGTTGACTCCGAAAAGAAAAATCACATGAGAAAATAAGGAACGGACTACTACTCCGATCGCCAATAGTCTCGGTGCCGTATTTCAATCAACTAACTAGCCTCTTGCTGTAGCAGAGACCTGTCAAGGAAGAGAGAGATAGAAAATACTTGCTTGGAGCTTCTCATTTCTCGCTGTTCGTGAAGTTCAGTTTTTCCGAAGCTTGCGGGTGAGATACTCCATGCAAGATAGTCCGGATCAAACTATCGGTATGGGAGAGCGAAACTGTTATTTTTGACAAAGTAAGCAATGTCGAGACTAGAATCGTTGTCAGTCAGTTTGAATGCTTTGGTCATCCTAGTGAAGCAGGAAAAGCATTTACAGTCTCTCATTCTTTTCGCGGACTCCGCACAAACGTCCCTGCAACTCGAAGTTGTTCTTCGCCAACCAATCTCGGACCCAACTCTTTGACTGACGTTCTTCGGGAATGTAGGTAAATGTAAAGATCAGTCGAGCAAACTCGCGACGTCCTCCCAGACTGTACCCACTAAGGCCAGTGTGGTAAAAATCATGTCTGGACGAAAGGCGGGGGCGGTCGCTTCATCTTTGGGGGTATGCGAGGTTGACTTGGAGATTGCGGTCGCCATAGTAATTCCTCCTCGCAAACATAAACCCTGGTGTAAAAGAGATCCAGTGGCGCAGACCAGTTGAAGCCCGCATAAAGGGGCCTGTGCGTTGCAGCCGGTGGCATTTCATTACCAACATAAGTTGAAGCTGACATGATCGCAGGGAATGACGTATCTGCGCTATATTCGGTGTAAGAAAAATTGGACGTAACCGACTGAACATAGAGAGGAGGCCGACCATAAGGCTGTACTTGCGCTCTCCTTGGCCTGCTAGAAACAGCCTGCTTTTGGCGTTGCGCTTGAGGCCGCGCTTGATGATGCATCCGGCTTAGAGAAATGGAATGTATGTCATCTTACGGCTCAATGTAAGTGTGACCTCATCAACATCATCCGCCTTACTCGGAGCAAAGTAATATTCAACCTATTCAGCAGGTAGTCGTAATGTTGCCTTGCTTCCATATAAGATGCGGCTCTTGAAGTTGCCTGAACGCTCGCCCACACAAAGAACGAACTGGGCTTGATTCCTCTACCAGAGCGCCATAGACTGCTCTCCGGCTCCTGAAATTCGCCACAGGTATCCCTATGCGCAATCACTCAAGCTTGTAATAAAGGCTCGACGAAGCAATTGCGGAAGCTCTCCAGAGAAAACTCCAGCGGATTCTCAATGGGCTCTTCAACATCAGCTAGTGTTACCGGCTTGGTACTTGAACAATTTATAATCACTAGGCACGAAATGTTACCATACTGCCCCCCGCCGCTCATAGATGTCGTTCGATTATACTGCGAAGTCGATATTGAAAGTTTAGCTGTTCTTATATACATGATCGCTACTCCGTATTCGATCACCTTTGGCCGATAAGACGCATATCTCTGCGACGTGCTTGTCCAAGACGTTTTGCGTCGCAAACCCTTGGTAATGATGCTGGCCTTCAAGGACACTACACTTGAAAGCCCTACCCAAGGCTGCACCGGTCATCCGTGCATTGGCCATTTTCCTGCCTGCGCCTTGGAAATTGGCGTGACAGAAACGGGTGTAACACCAGCTTTGGGACTGCTTGCGTTTCTTCGCGATAGAAAGTTTCGATTTCTCCGGAAGGATACTACCCGGGCCATAAGAATGGGGGACACCTTGAGGCCGCTAGCAACATACACCGACGTCCTCATCGCAATGTCCGTGATCCCTTTCTTCCCCGTCCTGCTGTTGTTCATCCGTCATGACGAACTATATAATTTCTCGTTGCCACCACTCTGATATTGCAACCGCAAAGACCGCGATGTGACATAGGAAGTCAATCAAAACACATAAGAGGCTTGTGCAGCTGCTCCCGGTTACACGTGCGACTCCGATAGACACCGTACATGCCAGACTCGTTGAGAGATACAAGGGAATTAGTCGAGATACAGTACTGCTCCTTCGGTGCGGAAGCTAGCTGTGGGTTCATGGAATCATCTTTGCGGACGATTCGATTGCAGGAGCGACTTATCATAAATGCCATGGCGCCAGCAGAGTCACATGAACGCTGTGGAAGAGGTACCAGCAGTAGCCACTATAACATTCATCATTTCATGAATTGGTATCAAATGGTCAGAAATATGCTGATATATATGATAGATGAGAAGGGGTTGTTTATCGGTGGACGACGTTATCGACACTCGCTGCTGTCTTGATGTGACATGAGGTAAATAGCCGTCTCATTGCAGATGACAGACATGTATATATGAATGGGTCGTAGCCGTAGCTGTGTATTCGCCGCCACGGATTGGAAGGATCGGACGCTGAATTAGCCCACTAGAGCTGGCGGAAGACCAACTTGTTTGGCTTCATCATGTTATTCGGCAACATCAAACTGCCAGGTTACTTCCCTTTAGCAGCTTCAAAGGTGTTTTCAGTATCGAGAATAGTTGGTGGCCCAGCCTCTTATAGGTAGTACATTGCAATTAATACCAACATAGTTACAAGCTAACGTTGCAGCGAATAGCATCATTCTGACCGCTCAGGCAAGGCAGATTGCTATAGTTTTGGTAAAACTGAAGACCGACCTCCACGATGTTGGGAGATCATATATACCTGCTTATTGCGTTGGTGTCATGTGAGCAACAATCACCGGTAGTATAAGAGCTTTGATAGATGCTTTTGTTTCGAATTCCGCGCACGGTAAGGCGCATTATGTAACGGAGCAGAAGACACAGCACAAGTAGTAGCTGATTCTTGGAATGACGCAGTAAAGAGGCCTGCTACTTAGAGTCGAGGAGACCGCACCCTGAAGATATGCGATTGCTTCAGGGTATTGAAGCGGTTGTACTTGAACGTTGCTGCCTGGAGGTGCCATTAAATTGGAATATACCCTTCAGACATTGCGGTAAAGCAGAATAGAAACTCTTCAGGGTCGAGTAGGGCATTGAATTCTCGGGTCTACCAGGCGGACATGAGTAGGAGCTTGGTCTGGCTAAGAGGTGAGTCGGTGTACCGTGCTATTACCGGAGAAGTTATTGGTTTGGATGGAGTTTTGAACTCATGGATATATAGTAAGCCGAAGTGACTGTATAAGACTAATTGCGTAGAAAGATTGTATTCGCAACACTCTGCCTTCCTAGAACAGAATATATAATGGGTTACCTGCCAATAACCGGAGGCCAAGGAATGGCGGGCGGGCAGATGTTTGTGCTGAGTGACTGCACATCTTATTTTTTTGTGAAAAAGATGATTGGGTGAGTTTTGGTGTTCGAACCTCGGAGAGGCTTGGAAAAGAAGCGTTGGACTCGAAAAGCTCCGGATGTGCTCGATGATACGAATAATGCGATCTTTGTAGATTGTGCTGAAGGAGACTCTGTGCCCTTTGTTCTTTGCCAGAGCCCCAGACAGTCTGGAAGCGCTGGAACATATAGTTGCCAGATGGCGGGGTGTGATGACGTTATTTAACAGCACCCGGCCAACCAATGTGAACGACAGTATATAGCGCCCAGCATGTGGTTCTTGATATTCTTGATATAATTAAAAGATTGTCGGACTTTGCGTTTGACAAAAGCAATGGAGCGGTTTTATTGCGGGAGTCCATATATCGAGCCCCAATGTTATTCTCCATCCATTGATGAAAGAACGATTGGGGTTTCGAGGGTTTATAGCGATAGTCGGGTAGCCTGATCAACCACAACCACCAAGACCAAGCTGATATGTGGGAATCTTCAGCTATAGTTGCTGAAGGATAAGCTCACCATGGGAGGCAGGTTCAAGCATGTCGCTAACCGCACTCATGGCTCCTTGGAGCCCGCCAACACTCGGGACCCACTCGTAGAAGAGCAAGGGTATCATTGCCCTGTCCCTCCAGCAATCCTCGGGAACTCTGTCCATTCTGCTGTGTGGGGAACTTATGACCAGCGATCCAACATGATATCGGAAGTAGTAGCAGAGCGACAAAGCAAAGTGAGAGTCAAATCCATTACCAGAAGTCAACTGCTCCAAACCCAAGGCACAGTCAAAGATCGTGAATGGAGAAAGTAATCACCATGGTGGGAAGACGACCGCAGCAGTCTGATGAGTGTGTCCTCGTCAAACTATCAGGTGATTCAAGGACTCAGGAAGGGTATATAGGAGATGAACAGCGAGA